GATGTGTTCTCTCCTTTATTGTTTTTTATTCGATTTTTCGTTGTGTTTCAATATTCAATAGTTTGACGGGTTTATCCGCTGTGCAACCTTTGGTTGTTTTGATCTTGACATTTTAGGTCAATTTTGAAACTACGTTCGTGTGGGAAATAACCCGGTTTCCCCAACATTTGAACCCAAAACATAGCATTATCCAAAGGAACCACCATCGGATCCTCTCCTTTTGCCAATCTATATAGCAACAAGAGATGGTTGTTGAAGAACCATGGGGAGCCCTCTAGAATCCGAGCCACGTCAACCTCATTATAGAAGCGGAAGAAAACTCTTTTCTCTCCAAGATCTGTAATGGAAACACCACCCAAGGGTTGTCGCACATCCGCCAATGTATTCCGCATCGACAAAAAATTCACAACACTTGTAGTGAGGAAACGTCCTACTAGACAGAATTCATACTCATCAGCAATTTCTTCGAGTTCAGGAGGGAGCACAAGAGCCTCCTCTTCCCCGTCATCAATGGACAAACTTGCTAACTCGGAATCCATTAAAGTGTGGGAGCAGCAGCCATCAAACCTCCACAAAGGAAAGAAAACCAGACCTGAAAAGATACCCATGCAAAACTGTAGACAAAACTCGTGCAAAACTACAACGGAAGTGTTATCATTTTCTTCGTATTATCTTACACCGAATAATTTATTTAAATATCTAATTAATTAGATTAATCAAATTAATTAGAAATTTAAAAGATTATGATATATATATATATATATATATATATGGTAACTGTTTTTTTGAACTAATATATATTGTAACTTTAATATGCAATTCGAATAAGGTAACTTATAAACTTAGCAAATAATGTATTTATCTTGTGTTTGCGTTTTTTTATTAATATATTGTTTATTTTATAAACATTTTTTATTAATATATTGTTTATTTTAAATCTAATTGTATATTTGTATATCCAATCTTAAAAGTTGGAGATATACGTGTTTTTATCAATTTGAAAAAATCAAAGTGTTATAAAAATAAATACTGAATTAAAATCATAAAATAATTTTATATTTCATTTAATATTAAATATAAAAACATAATTATATTGTTTCATAAATATAAATTTTAAAGGATAATATAGTTAAATAAATAAAAATAATGTTAAAAGTATTAACTATCAATGATAGGTAGGTATTTATTAACATTTTCAAACTTTTCCATCGAAAAAAATATATATTTAATTTTAAATTACCAAACATACTTAAAATCAAACATTAATTTTCAATGAATAGAAGATTTTCAACTATTCATGGAACACGTTGTCTCTTTAGTGAAAATACTAAAAGTAAAGTCTCACAACAATCATAAAATTGTAGGTATCTTCTGTGAAAATTTACCACAAAGTAAATCAATGAACAAAGTTGGATAGAAAATGGTAACATTTTGACGTTGGAGAAGAAATGTGGGAAAAGTGAACGTTGGTAAGAAGGATGGTTAAAAAGGCCGGTAATGTTTTGAATTATTCAATGATATGATTTATTGATCGATTAATTTAGATAAGATACTACAGAGAAAAAGACGACACTCTCAACACAGTTTGCTCTATTCCTAATTTAGAAAAGGGTAATATTAGAACGCCATTCTCAATGCCTTGTCTTTGCATTTAGAAAATAAAATATTTTGTTTAACTTTATTTATATGAATATTTAATAATTGGGATGCAATAAAGATTTGACCAGTTTGAACCCTGAAAAAATATGGCTAACGATTACTCCATATGCTATTATTTTCAGCGGATATTTAATTCTTGGAAAGTCTTTAATTATGCAGTACATTAATTATAATACCAAATTAAATTACTATTCACAGCGCATGAATTAAAATAAAATTTAAGCTTTCCACGTTGTTTACTTGAAGAAAAATAACGAACATTTTTTAATAAAATATTTGAAAATTTGTAGCTAACAATAATTAGGTAGAAGAACATGTTGAGTTAAATAATTATGATGGAAAATAAAATAAAATAACAAAACGCAGGCGTTGCTGAATGATTATTAACGATTAATTTGTTGTTTTAAAATCAGAGTTGAATTCCCACTGGTTTTTCAACGAACAAGGCAGCTGGTTTTTAGTAGTTCCACCACATGAACATGACATCCCATAAGACAACTTCATTCTCAACACTCAGTTTATTGATTAACGTTTTCAAACTAACAAATTTCTCATACATATTGGTAATTGACCCTTAATCCATAAAATTGTTATTACACCAAAACTAGGCTAAAATATTTTTTTATAGAAGCAATTAATTCTATTCAAATAGGAACATCCCAAATTACAATGAAATTGACAATCATAGTCGTAAATTAAACACGTAATTAGGACAATTTCCTATGATCATTGAAACAAACTAGCACTTAAGATTACATAAAGGTCATATAACGAAAGATTAAAAATCTAACCCAGAAATTCGAACAACCAGATATTATCGCATCGATAAACGATCCAAAAGGGGATCAAGCTATTGGAAGGCCACCAACAACTACAAATCAGACTCGAGCGATGTGAAAAGCTATCCACAAACTCAAATCAGGTATTCAAATCCAATCCGAGGGTCCAAAGCAGGGAAGATCAACAAGATATCATATAAGCGCTATCTTGATCAGTTGTGACGATGTCAAATCAACCCTTAAAAAAGATAAATAAAAAACGACCAAAAAAACATACCAAAAGACATAAGAAAGGTATCATAAAGGCAAATGAAAATATATCATACATGCAGACTTATTTGAAATCAAAAGACAAAATAAATAGAGATACGATATAAGGAAATAAAAGGACAACAAAGACTATCGACGACCAGCAATCAACATTAAAGTTAGTGCCACCGCCGATCAACAAAGACGGAAAAATGAGATGAGCGACACACCAACGAGAGAAAACTAAGTTTTTTAGATTTTATTTTCAGAGATAAAATGATAGGCTAAAATATATTCAATATTGATTAATAAAATATGATGTAACATAGTAGAATAATAATTTTAATATCCAAAACATACCCATTATATCAAATTGGTCATAAATTAAAATAATTCAATATTTAAAAATCTTATGAATTTAGTAAAGCATAAAATCCCAAAATCCCTCTTCCAAATCTCGATCTTCCTTGACATTGCCGTCATTCATTTACTTAGTTACCGCCATCATCTCTCCATAACAGAATATATAAGCTGTGCAAGATTTTGTAAACGGATAGTTTGTTAGGAGGTAGTTAGAGCTATTGTTAGTATATATATTATTGTAAAGGGTCAGTTTTACGTTAAGTGAAATTAAAGAGTTTTTTTGTTCTTCCACAAATCTTGTTACTCCATGCCAACCGCACATCCCTCGTCGACCCCTTAAAACGTCGTTCAGACCTTGTGTCAAGGTCGTCTAAACTTTTGACAGTTTTAAGAGTAAACATTATTGACAAGGTCGTCATAGATAATATCTTGGTGGTTCTTTATATTGCAAACATGTGCGGTAATGCTTGCGAGAGATTGGTGGCAAAGTGTGTAGAAACTGTTGTGAATCTATTGTTGATATTGTAACACATAACAAAGCCTTGCCTCATCACATTGTGAAACAAATCATTGATACCCTTCTGGAACTTGGTTTAGACAAAGCCTGAAAACATAGGCCTTCCCGATAAATATGTGCCGCGGATTCATCGGGCATTAGATTCTGATGATGTCGAATTAGTTCGAATACTACTGAAAGAGGGTCATACGAACTTAAACGAGGCCTATAAACTTCACTATACTGTGCTTACTGCGATACTAAGACCACAACCAAGATGCTCGACCTCGGAGTCGCTGATGTTAACCATAGGAGCTCAGGGGGCATACGGTATTACACATTGTTCGTATTTGGTTTTGGTAATAGCTTTCTGATCAATTTGGTTTTGGTAATAGCTTTCTGATCAATTTGGTTTTGTTAGTAGGATAAGTGAGAATTTGTGATTTTGGACTATGTTGGCCACACTTCAAATTAAATAATTCAACAATTTTATTTATTTTTTAAAATATTTTATAATAAATGAACGGAAATTTTATCCTTGGATCGGAAAGTTTGACCCATTTTTTTTTCGTTGGACCCAACCATGGACATATCCAATCTAAACTTGCTTATAGATCTAGCTCCAAGTTAATATTATTATTTGCAATAATATTATTTTATAATTATTTTAAGTAAAATATATTATTAATAAATAATGTTTTAATTTTGTATATGAACTTTCAATTGTTTAAGGGTAACGGTATAAAATTGGATTTTAAGTTCAAATTTCATAAAAATCTTTTTTTTTCACGCATACATGCAAAAATAAAAAAATAAAAAAATGCAGTGGCTGGTTGGTTTTTAAACGAAAACAACTGTCATCAACTAATCACAAGAAGAATAAGAAAGGAATGAACAAGGGAACAGGGACATGTAATACAAAATACCAAATTGCATGAATCGCATGTAAGCCAAGCATCAAATATGCAACACACTCTGATAATATGATTTTAATTTTCAACCTTTAAGTAGCAGAATTTGAAATATATATATATATATATATATATATATATATATATATGTTAAAAGTACCAGATATTGTTATATATGATTCAAAGTTTTCACAATATAATGGAAAGCAGTAGTTTTAGAAGAGAACACAATGAAAAGGAACTGAGAAATATAGAAATCTATGATGAACCTTTGTTGTTGCTATCCTATCATCAAGAAATTCATGGAAGTGTCTATTTTTCTTTTAGCTCTCAGCGCTTCTCCTGCATCACTACCTGCAACCAATGGCATCTACATTAAGAAATCATTGATCATTATCACTGCCGCTAATATCCGATATGCTAGTCTGGTTTGTATATGGATATGGATGTAAGATTGATTCTGCAAAGATCATTCAAATACATGAAACAGAACAAACCATGTTGGATATATACAGTTATATATCTGACTCCTATTCATGAGATATGAGTCAGAGAGAGCCGGTTTGCTCCACCGGCAGATCACTGGCAAATCCAATCAAGCTAGAGGGCTTCCAATTGATCAAATCCTCCAACTCAAGATAGATCTCGGAAACATTCACTGATAACCCTTCTTCAATTGTTGCATTTTCTACACATGAACTTCCCCCTAGTAGATTTTCAGCCATAACATGATAAACAGAAGACGTTTCTGCTGCAGTGATGTTCTTTTGATCCACCATACAAGTTCCAAGCTCTTTCTCCAGACGATCATGCAAAAACTTTGTGAAATTATTAGATTGCATTGATTCCAATCCCTCCTGATAAATTTGGTTTATACAGTTGATAACACTTTGGTCAGTCTCCTTAGATTCAGGCAAGCTCTTTGTGATACTATGATCAATCTCCATAGGCTCAGACAACCTCTTTGTGACCTTTTGGTCAGTCTCCTTAGGCTCAGGCAAGTTCTTTGTGACACTTTGGTCAGTCTCCATTGGCTTAGCCACATTCTTTGCGACACTTTGGTCAGTCCCCATTGGCTCAGTCACATTCTTTGCGATACTTTGGTCAGTCCCCATCGGCTTTGCCACATTCTTTGCCACACTTTGGTCAGTCCCCGTTGGCCTAGCCACGTTCTTTGGGACACCTCGGTCAGTCCCCATCGGCTTAGCCGCACTGTTTCCGACACTTTGGTCAGTCTCCATAGGATCAGGCAAGCTGTTTGTAACTTGTGTCTCAAGCAACTTCCTCTTCTTGCTACTAAATCCCCCCTCATCAAGCTCCTTCTGCTGCTGCTGCTTGTTCTGAATCAATTGCTGAAACAGACTGGGGAATTTCACTAACTTAGCTAAGAAAATGAATATTTGTTGTTGCCTACATTCGGTGAACCGAATCCGATCTTCATAATCACTCAATTTATCTTTTGATTCTTCATTCTTTTTTCTCAGTTTCATAACTTCTATCTGCAGTTCACTCTGATTTTTCTTCAAAACCCCAATCTCAGCTTCCAATCCAATATTATATGTTGAATTATATTTACTTTTTCTCTTAATGCCTTTCAGCAAGTGCTTCTTTCCTCCTTGGAACCCTTCATTCGCAAATTCCCATCTACCACAATTAATCTTTCCTCCTGGAAACCATCCATACCTGAAGCTTTTAGAGGTGACATACTCTTGACCGCCTATCATACCTCTTCAGCTCGAAAGGGAGAGAGTAGGGAATCATTCATATCATCAGTCACACGCAGTTGAAGCATGTTAAAGATAACTGAAGCATCGTCTGGAGATGAAGTTTCAAACAACTCGATAAAATAATTACTGGCCAATGAAACCAACTCCACGGGATCAGTTATCCAATTACCATAAGCATCAAACAGGCCTTTCACAGAATTATGCCTTTAATGATAGTATACGTAATTGTGGAAAAATGGCGTGTTCCTATCCTCATGCTTAAGCCAATTAACACGAGCCCGTTGCTCCCAAAATATATATTCTTTATCCACTTCCATATTAAGACCAAGCTTAACCTCAATCAATTCTTGTAAAACCTCTTTCTCGGGCTCAAACAGAAGAGAGATCCCTTAGACGAGCTTGGATGGAGTGTTTACGCTCCTTCGCAAACTTCCTATTATTTCGACTCCAGGACAATAAGGACTGACCCAAAGTATGAAGCCTATCGGGAATAAATACTTCTCCAAGATCTAATATGACCTTATAATTTGCTCCACCTCTTCATCATATATCCAATCAGCATCAAACTGGAATATTGTACTTCTAGCAGGAGTAGATTGGAAGATATACCTCTTGATCTTAATAAGTATAAGAAAATGATCAGAGATAGAGTGGTTTATGTTGAAGTTTACACAAGAGTCTTGAAGTAATCAAGAAGATACAAGAAGTGTATTATGATCCAAGGTTAAGCAGTATATTTATACATGAGCTTACTGCCTTAACAACCCTCTAACAGCTCCTAACCACTCTAACTATCCAAACAAACTGCTAACAACCTGCACATTAATTGTACACGCACACACACTCCAAGCTATACTGAACACACACACACAAGCTGCTAGCAACATGCACGAATGCATGTAGTCATGCTTCAACATTCTCTCCGTCCTTCTCAGCTGTTCTCTTTTCAGCTACCTGAACTTTCTGGCTAAACAGCACATGTATAGACTTAGCCAGAGGTTTGGTCATTCCATCAGCTACTTGATGCTCTGCTGGTACGTAATTAACACGAACAACTCCACATTCTACCTTTTCACACACAAAGTGTATATCCAACTCTATATGCTTCGACCGTGCATGAAACACCGGATTAGCACTCATGGCAACAACACTCGTATTATCACTACATACGACTGGAACCGCATCAACTACTTACCCTGTGTCTGTTAACAAGGACTTCACCTAAATCACCTCAGCAATTGTATCTGCAATACTACGGTATTCAGCTTCTGTTGTTGAATGAGCAACAACCTTTTGTCTCTTTGCACTCCACGAAATCAAATTGCATCCAAGAAATACACACGATCCTGACACCGACCTACGATCATCAACATTACTGGCCCAATCAGCATCTGCAAATGCAGTCACACCGTAAGCTTCAGCTGCAGAAGACCGTCTAAACACCAAGCCACATTCAATCGTTCCACTCAAGTAACACAATATCCTCTTAACTGCAAGCCAATGACCATCGCAAGGTCGATGCATGTACTGAGCTACCTGATTAAAACTAAAGGCAATATCTAGTCTTGTATGACTCAAATACAACAAGGAACCAACTATGCTTCGATACATCCATGCATTCGAAAGCGGCTTCCCAGCATCACTAGTCAATTTCGGTGAAACCACTATTGGTGTAGGTACAGGTTTAGCAGTAAGCATACTAGTCTATTCCAACAGCTCTCTAATAAACTTGCATTGGCTCAACACCAACTTCTCAGAGGTCCTATGCATTTCAACACCAAGAAAGTACCCAAGCTCTCCCAGGTCTTTCAACGAGAACTTTTTACCAAGTAGTTTAACCACCTCATTAATAGCATCATTAGACTCACCCGTGATGATAATATCATCGACATATACCAGCACCATTACACGAACACCACCCACTCGACGAACAAACAAAGACGCATCGGCCTTTGTACCATAGAACCCAAGCTCCAGCAAGAAATTGTGCAGCTTGGCATACCACATGCGCGGTGCTTGTAGCAACCCATACAAGGCATTCCTCAGCCTACACACTAGCCGAGTCCCATCACTAGCCACTCGTTCAAAACCCGGTGGCTGTACCATATACACCTCTTCTCCAAGCTCACCGTTAAGGAACGCGTTGTTAACATCCACCTGCCTTAAACTCCAACCACGAGTCACAATGAGAGATAACACAACATTTACAGTAGTGGTCTTCACCACCGGGCTAAATGTATCACTGAAATCATGACCAGGTACTTGTGAGTAACCTCTTGCCACAAGACGTGCTTTATGCTTCAATATAGATCCATCTACATTAAACTTAACCTTGAACAGCCATTTGCAGCCAACTGCTGCTCACCCTTTTGGTAATGGTTCTAACGTCCAAGTGTCATTCCTCACCAACGCATCATACTCAGCCAATACTGCTTCCTTCCATTGTGGATCTTGAAGTGCTTGAGTTATCGAGCTTGGCTCTCCACTATTGCCCTGAGTTTGTGCAACAAAAACTTTTGGTTTAAAAATCCCTCATTTACTGCGTGTAACCATTTGATGTTCATTGTGCACTGAGGGATAGACTGAGGTAGCCTCAACATGACATGCCTTATCAACCAACACGTCATCAACTTCATCAGTTCGACCTTGCACCACTCCCACTGAGCTATTGTCTTGACTTCCACCAACACTTCCATTCTCAGTGTGTTGACTCACCCTATTGCTCGACGCTCCAATTTCAGCAACTGTTGACACATCACTAGTACACGCTGGAGCAAATTGAGACCATTCAATAACTGGTTGTGTGGAATTAGCACAAACACGTTGAGCACCAGGAACCACCACTAATAAAGCTCCACTACACGGTTTTCCCGTAGTAGTTCCATTCTTCTCACTTCCAGACTTAGCGAATGGAAACTCATACTCATCGAAAACTATATGCCGAGATACATACACCCGTCCATCAGGTGCTAAGCATTGATATCCTCGATGGTTTATGCTGTACCCCTAAAATACGCACGGTTGTGACCTGTACGCAAGCTTATGCAGTTGAAACAATCATAGATGAGGGAAACATTTACACCCAAATACCCTTAAATGATTATACGTAGGAGGCTTCCCAAACAGTTTCTCAAACGGAGTATGACCTTGAAGTACCTTAGTTGGCAGCCTATTAATTAAGTGAGCTGTTGTTATAACTGCAAAGGACCAGTATTTCAATGGCAATGAAGCTCGAGCTAATGTTGTCAATTCCATCTCAAACAAGTGTCTATGCTTTCTTTCAATAACCCCATTCTATTGGGATGTATGAGGACATGTCATTCGCTGCTGAATACCACATTGTATAAGTACAACGGATAGCGATCGGTACTCACCTCCCCAATCTGTTTGCACAGCCTTAACCTCTTGTCCAAACTAAGTTTGAACCAACTTCTGAAATAGTTGAAATGCGTGAACAACCTGCCCTTTGCTCTTCAGCAGATACACCCGAGTATGCCTCGAAAAAGCATCTACAAACGACATATAATATCTAAAGCAATTCGACTCAATGTGATATGGACCCCATAAATCAAAAAATACCAGCTGAAACGGTTGTCCATACTGAGTTTCAGAAGCATAAAACGACAACCTATGGCTTTTTCCCATATGGCACGAAACACATATTGGAATAACGTCTTTATTCAAATCACTTGGCAAACTGACATTACATTGTTTGCATATTTGCAACAAGTCTTTATAAGATTGATGACCTAAATGGTCATGCCACAATACATAGCTATTACTAGAATTAAAAGCTACATTTGCTTCAGCAGCTCGACCTCGAGTAGACAGAACACCACCGAATTCATACAAGCCACCAGTCTCTCTTCCTCGCAGTAACTCAGCATTAAAGCATGAGACTCAGTAATAACAAAAACTCTAAGAACACTCCATTATCCCTAGCAAGCTTGGAAACCGACACCAATTTCTTAGTAATTGAAGGCATATGCAACAAATCGCTCAACATTAAAGCACGAGACGCAGAAATAACAGAAGCTTGACCAATTCTAGTAATAGATAAACCACTACCATTACCTACAATCAGCTTACGAGCCCTGATATAATCTGAGCCATCTATCACTTCTGTAGCATCAGGCGTGATATGGTGAGTTGCCCATGAATCTACAAACCACGGACGATGAGATGAACTCGTGGCAGCCATGTTTACAAGAGGCTTGAACCGTTCTTGATCATCCAACCCGACTGTACCTCCATTCGTATTATTTGCACAGGAACACTTGTTAGAATTGTAGTGACAAACGTTAGCCGTGGGCACTCGTTCTTTAAACGAGTTCCTTAAATCAAAACTCCTCAAATCAGATTCATCTACACCCAAGAATGACTTATCAAACCTGTACCAACACCTATTCACAAGGTGACCATTCTTGCCACACAACTGGCACTGCATCTTGACACGCCCTCAACCACGACCAGCTTGACCATTATAGGTAGTATGCCTCTCCGATGTAATCTGATCTTGTCTAGCAAACCGATTGGTTTTGTCATCCACAGACGTTTTTCTTGAGCAACATTAGTTGCAGCTGTTATGTTGTCAAACCTACTGAAGTTCGTTTCTTGAGTTTCAGCATCAATGAGAACAGATACAACTCCTTCCAGAGTTAAGGCGTCACGGCTGGCTGACAAGACAGTAACCATCGGCCTATATTCAACCGACAATTCATTCAATATAGTTGTAATGTGCTCCAGATCAGACACTGGACTGCCACATGATGCTAGAGCATCACATATTTCCTTAACTTGAGAAATATAGCCCCGCATTCCTAACTCTCCTTGATGAACAGCTTTCAGCTGGTAATGCAAGTTCATTACCGCTGTTGTAGACTTACCGGCGAAGACCTTATTGACAGTCTTCCAGACCTGCGCAGCTGTCTCAGCCCCTACCAAATGTGGTAGCAAGGTTGGACTAATCGTAGATAATAACCACGAGGCTAAAGCAC